AGAGCAGCAGTGGAGATTTATGAACACAAAGATGAAAAAGACTCACTAATATTGATATCTTGGTCACCTGTAAATTAAATAGCTTAAGGCAGAGCCCAGAGGGCACAAATCAAGGGCAGAATGGGACACTAATTAGTGTAAAACATCCTCCACCCCGTTTTTGTGTTTTATCCTTACTGGTAAATTCTTTAAAATCAGCTTAAGGTCTTAATGTCAAGTTCATTCTCCAAATGTAAAATTCAGTCAAGAAAATTGTACTTTCACTGCATCTTTGCTTCCCTTTCTAGTGTTATGCTAGATCTATAATAATAACCTAATAATCAGTAGTAAAAAACCCTAATGTTTATCACCAAGTAAGGAGATGCTACTATGAATATACATAGTAGTGGACAGGTGGTATAAAACCAAGCCATTTTTAAACTCATTTTTCAGAACAGAATTGTACCAGAAGTAGGTTAAGGAAGTAGTAGTTACTGTGGTTGTGCAACTGTGGTCAGACATTTCATCATGTGCAGTGAGTGCATTACAAACATATGTACAAGAAACTGTGGGGTGCATGCTTTAAAAGGTCAGTCATGACTTTTATATTTTATAACAAGAACAGATGATTATCAGTATATTACAGAAAGCTTTAGATCAGGAGTGTCAAATATATTTTGGCCCCATGAGCCAAATGAGTTGGGAAGGATGCGTTTACTGGCTGAATGAATGGCACCAGGTTGGATCCAGGACCCACTTTGGTAGATCTGGGACTGCACTGCATGCAGTGTCTGCCCTAGCTGGTTCAGCATATGACTTGCGTGTGGCACCTGCTCCAGCTGGTCTGGAGTGGACGCTGTGTGCATGGGTACTGAACTGGCTGGAGTAGGCGTCACATGCAGACCCCTGTCACCTACAGGCCAGATCCAGTCCCCATTCTGGCTGGTCTGAGATTGTTCTGCACAGTGCCATAGCAAGGGGGAGTGAGCGTGGTAACCGCCCCGGGAGCTGAAGTGAAGGGGCTTCAACAGGGGCTGCCCAGCTGAGGCGGGGTGCAGGACAGAGCCATGAGCGGCTCATCTGGTGGGGCCGGGGGAACGGGGGAAGGGCAACTCCTGCCACTGCATGCACTCCTATGAAATCATGTCTATAAAATCTATGAAACCTGGCCAAGCATGGGAGGGGGGCGTGTGCCCCCCGGATCTGTGTGCAGGGCAAGGGCAGGCTGCCTCTGCAGGCTTTGCTCCAGGTGCCAAACTTCATAGCTATGGCACTAGTGCCACAAGCAGTGCCTCCTTCAAGACCCATGCTGCATGCAGCACCCACAGCAGACTGATTAGAGTGGGTACCATGTGTGGCTTGTGTCTTGAACTGGCCAGAGCAAGTGCCATATGTGCTGGATCCAGCACATGAAGGGGAGGTCCTGGACTGGCCCCACACAGGTAACCATGTACAGCATGGTCCTAGATCCTGTGTGCAGGGCCAGTCTGGCATGTGCCATGTGTGGGTGCCCTCGAGACCCAAGACCAGCACTGGGGTTGGATCACATGGCCCTGCAAGCTAGATTCAGCCTGTGGGCAGTGTGTGGATATCTTTAAGAGTGTTATGTATAAGTTGTTACATTGGCCTGGGGATTGCAGGAGGAAACCAGAGGGAACAGCAGATCAGTAGGCTAAAATGGCTCTCTGAATAAACAAGCTTTATCGTTCTGTAAGTTTAACTCTTTGGTCTTTTGAGACTAACATGTTACCAGGGGTGGGATGCAGCTAAAGACAGAAAAATGGAGCATCTCAGAATTCCAGAGGAGTTAAAGTTATCCAGCAATGCAGCAGAAAACAGGAAAAATTTAAGCAGAGCTTCACCATATATATGATGGCCAGTAGAGAAAAGGAAGATCCACTCAAGATAGCTATTTTTAAAAAAAAATATAACAGGCCCAGAAGCTCTGTCTCTTTATAATAGCCTACAACTTTTAGAAGCAGAACAGAAAAGCTATGGTACAGTAATAAAAAAAGTTTGAGTAATATTAAAACCTTTGAATGGTATAATTTCCACCTTAGACAGAAGAAAGAATGTGAGGCAATAGAAAAGTTTGTCAAAGACCTCAGACTGCTGAGCCAAGCATGCAACTTTGGAGTCTGAAAAGAGTCCATGATCAGAGACCAAATAGTATTGGGTATAAGGGTTACAAACCTTAGGAAAACACTGCTAGAGGATCCTGAGCTTAATTTGGAAAAGGCAGTTAGAATGCGCCAAGCAGGTGAGATAACAAATGCCAGGCTGCAGAAGCTGGAGGAAAAAAGCAGAGCAAGCTGAACTAGACAGGATTACAAGACTGTAAAAACCTAAGGCACACAAAAAAACAATACAGAAAGAAGGACCTCACTATGAAGCAGGCAAGCAGAGGCCAAAGAGAATTGCTTGAAGAAACAATGGTCAGCTGCAGATACTGTGGGGGTTCCCACAAACCCATGCAATGCCTTGCAATTGGTAAGCACTGCAACAAATGCAAAAGATTCAATCACTTTGCAAGAGTTTGCAAAAAAGAGCAGGATGCAACATACAAGAAACAGCAGGTTCATGCTCGATGCAACAAGGAAGAGGAAGAATTCCTCATTGGCACAATGCAAGTATAGTTCATTCTTCTGAGGACTGGACAATCACCCTGGATACCAATGGACTAATGGTAACTTTTAAATTAGATACAGGGGCACAGGTCAATGTAATACCAGAATACATTATTCAAAAAATGAAAACTAAACCTGCGTACTATGAGAATAAGAAAGTGAAACTTAGAGCATATAATGGGAACATGATTGCAACCAAGGGTGTTTGTGCACTGCATGTTAGACATGAGGGTAATATAGTAAAAGTTCAGTTTGTAACAGTCCCAGAAAAACTAGTGCTAATTATTAGGTTGCAAACATGTAAAACTCTAGGTCTTATTAACAGAATAGATGCCATTGAGGGACTAGAAAGCAAGAATATAGAAGAAGAGTTTTATGATATATTTCAAGGCATAGGGAAACTGTCAAGTGAGGACAAGATAGAATTAAGAGAACCAAATACTTCCACCATACATGCTCCAATAAATGTTACCATTGTACTAAGGGAGAAACTGAAAAAGGAATTAGATTAGTTAACATGGACATAATAGACAAAGTAGAGCAACCAACTGCTTGGGTTCATTCACTGGTCATAACAGAAAAAAAAGATGGATCCTTGAGATTGTGTCAGGATCCTAAGCAAATGTACAGATACATCAAAAGGGAGCATTTTTCTATTCCCATCAAGGAACAGGTTTTTGGCAACTTGGTAGAAGCTAAATATTTCTCCACATTGGATGCCTCTTCTGGGTTTTGGAAAGTTCCCCTAGAAAAGAACAGCACTAGATTATGTACCTTCAATATGCCATTCAGAAGGTTTTGCTTTCATAGGCTTCCTTTTGGACTGTGTTCTGCATCTGAAGTATTTCACAGAAAGGTGCAATAAATTTTGAAGGTCTTGATGGATCTATGGTTTATACTGTTGTATTAGTTTGAGATACTAGGGAAGAACATGACTTGAGGCTAAGAAAGGTACTAGAAAGAGCTCACAGAGCAGGTTTGAAACTGAACAAACAAAAGTGTAAATCCAGGCTCAAAGAAATAATGTATCTGGGAGAAAAACTTTCTGAGAAAAGAGTGAAAATCGATCCTGCAAGGGTTAAAGCCATTACAAACATGCCACCCCCTACAGGTAAGGGAAGAGTGCAAAGATTATTGGGAATGATCAATTTTATAGGGAAATAGCTACCTAACTTAGCAGAGCAGACCAAACATCTTAGATCATGCCTACATAAGAATGCTCAGTGGATATGGGAACATAAAGATGAAGCTGGATTTAAAAACTTGAAGGAAAAAATAATGAAAGCTCTGCTCTTGTGCTAAAATACTATGACCCTAAAAGACCCATTAAATTGTCAACAGGTGCCTCTAAAGAAGGCATTGGAGCAGCTTTGCTTCAAAAACATGGGGATAGCTGGAGATCAATAGCAGACGCATCTAGGGCACTCTCTAAGTTAGAGTTTCTATGCACAAATTGAGAAAGAAAGTTTAGCTTTGGTATATGGCTGTAAGAATTTCATATATTCATCTATGGGAAGCCTGTGACAGTTGAGACTGATCATAAACCTTTGGTAAGTATAGCAAAGAAAGGGTCATCAGACGTGCCACCCAGATTACAGAGACTTTTCTTTCAACTGCAAATGGATGATCTAGACATACAGTACATGCCAGGAAAACATCTACTTATTGCAGATACATTGTCCAGAGCATGAGACACAACAGAAAATGACAGAATTCCAGACTCACATAGTACATACTAATCTAATTAAAAGAGTGATTCCTGTCACAGATAAAATGTAGACACTAATTGCAGAAGCTACTGCTCAGGACACCACACTGCAAAAAGTGACAAAAGCTATTCATGCTGGTTGGCTTGGAAAAAATATACCTAGCCTCTACTATCAGTTCAAGAAAGAGCTGTCAGTACTGGATGGCATTTTGTTCAAAGGCTCATGACCTGTTGTTCCAGCAGAGCTAAACAAAGACAAGTTAAACAGAATACATAAGAGGCATCTCGGCATTGAAAAATGCAAAAGGAGAGCAAGGGGTGCTCTATACTGGCCCAACATAAATAATGACATGGAAGATGCTGTAAAGTCTTGTACAATGTGCCTAAAGTACAGATCAGTGAAAAAAAAGCCCATGATGGTCATAGACGAACCCGTAGCTCTGTGGTATCAAGTGAGCATTGACTTATTCATACATGCAGGAAAAAAATATGTATTAGTGCTGGATTATTATTCTCACTATCCTGAAATTGCATTGCTTGAAAGCACAACAGCAAACCATGTCATAACACACATCAACTTACATCATAACTCCGTCACAACACTTCAAGTTGTAAATACTCACAATCCAATTGCCTGAAAAATGGAATACAAATAGTGAAGAAATTGTTGAAAAAAGCTACTGATTCACACACTGATGTTTACCTGTCACTCTTAAACTACAGGGCACCACTCATGAAACATGGATTGTCCCCAGCAGAAATGCTGTTTAACAGGAAACTCAAAACTAGGCTGGCAAATCTTGTGGATAAAGTTCATCAGAATGAAAAGCAAAACATGAAAACATTAAAAAAAAAAAAAATTGACAAACTCAAACAAAAATGGTACGATGACAGGGGTCCCAGGGAATTACCACAACTTCACAACAAAGATAGGGTGCTTATTTCAGATGGACTAACATGGAAATAAAAAGCATTAGTGTCGCATCAAGTGGCTTCTAGACCCTATAAGGTAGTCACATTGGAAGGGCAGGTATTAAGAAGGAACAGATGACAGTTGCAGCTCATAAAGGAGAGAATAGAAGCAGCATCATGAGATTCCCCAGAGGAAACAGAATAACAACAAAGCAACAAGAAACGACAAAGGAGACTGAAAATGACACAGAAGCACAGACTTCTGAACAAGGAAACCAAACAAGAACTGAACCAATAAGGATTGAGAAAGCAGAGAAATTGAGATCATTTAGAGCTAAAAAGCCAACACAAAGACTAATAGAGACCTGTTAAAATGTGCTTTAACAATGGGTTGAACTAAACTTCCAATGTTAGTATTACAAGGGGAGATGTTTCATAGATTTCATAGACATTAGGACTGGAAGGGACCTCGGAAGATCATCGAGTCCAACCCCCTGCCCGAAGGGCAGGAAGTCAGCTGGGGTCATAGGATCCCAGCAAGATAAGCATCCAATTTACTCTTGAAGGTGTTCAATGTAGGTGCTTGAACCACCTCTGATGGCAGGCTGTTCCACACCTTGTGGGCTTGGACAGTAAAGAAATTCTTCCTTATGTCCAGCCTGAATCAGTCTTGCAGTAGTTTGTAACCGTTCAACCTTGTCATCCCTTGGGGCGCTCTGGTGAACAAACGTTCCCCCAGATACTGGTGGTCACCCCTGATAGGTGGCCATCAGATCACCCCTGAGCCTGCACTTTGTCAGGCTAAAGAGCCCCATGTACTGTTACATTTAAGGGGGAAGATGTGTGATACATATAAGTTGCTACATTGGCCTGGGGATTGCAGGAGGGAAACGCAGGGAACAGCAGATCAGTAGGCTAAGATGGCTCTCTGAATAAACAAGCTTTATTGTTCTATAAGTTTAAGTCCTTGGTCTTTTGAGAATAACACAGGCTGGATGTCTGACACCCTGCTTTAGATCAGTAAAGACTGGAAACACTGCACATAAAGCAATGAGTTATGAAATCTTCTGACTTAAAATGTTAAATGGGATTTTTGAAAATAACAAAACTAAACCTTAGAGATCCTAAAGATATGTTATGGAAAGGAAAGTTAGTACCTATGGCAACACAATTTTTCCTTTTTTTTACCTTACAATAACAATAGTAACAGAAAAGATGTATTTTACTGGGAGTCAATAGAGAGCTGGGTTTAATAGTCTATGGTAAGGCCAAAGGATGTTCTCAATTCACTCTTACTGCACACTAGATACCAGGAATG